CTTTTCCTCTTTCGATGGGTCTCTGCTGCTTCGTGAATCACTTTAGATTTCCCACTTTCTGAGGATATAGAGTCTGTCAACTTAAGTAATTCCGAAAATTCCACACATTTCTTGATCAGATCAAGGAGGTCTCGGCTGCTCCGCCACGAAGCAAGATAATCTGGGTCGATGGGGTTATAAGGAACAATGGCCCATTCAGTAGAATTATAATTCTCTACTCGGTCAGGGGAGGGAAAGGATGTAGGCGACCCAGATTCAATTGGATCAAAAGGGGAAGAACAATCGACATTAGGGGAGGAGGGGCAATTTGGCAGAAGGGGAGGAGAAGAATCTAGGAATTGGAAGGGACTGACGAAAGGGAAAAGAAAGGGAATGGCTGGGAAAAAGGATGAGGATAGTTGGTAGCAAGGAGAGGAGGCGGGGATAAGGTATCCAACAAGTGAGAAAACAGAGTTACGAACTAGGACATGGGAATAGGAAGAAGGATTAAGGAGGACGGAGGATGGGTTAGGAATGGGGGGTGGGCCTGGGTAAGAAGTTAAATCAGGAAGGGAGTGGTTGGGGCCAAAAGGAGAAACGAATTGGCTGGGCCGATTGAGGGTAGCTAAGGCAGATGACAGTTCAGGAATGGGCTTAGGGGATTGGCAAGGAAGGGGACCCAGTTTTCGGGCCCAAATCCTTTTCACTCTGCCGGCCTGAATGCGAAGGGAGGGATGACAACTATTTCCTTGGGCCATGTTCCTAACAGCCAATCCCGAAGCGGGAGTGGCGGCGCGCATGGGAGGATCGTTCAAGGTAGATGCAAGGCTCGGGTTACGTGATGCACGCGGTTCTCCGTGACGATCCACCTTCCGCGACGGGCGCAAACTGAAAACCTGATCCATAAGCCGTCGCCGGTTCAGATCCGCCACCGGGCAAGCAATTTCCGGCGCCGGCACGATACGGACAACAAACACCGTGCTCCCAAATCTGATGGGAATGGAGTCTGGAACCTCCGACCTCGGTCTCACCTTAATCCGGACGCAGGGGTCCGACCATTCGTTCAAATCCGCATCAACAAACTCTCCACAAATCCTCCCAATACTCCTGTAAACATCCCATGAGCGTAGAAACGGCGGAATCCCGAAAACCAAAATCCACTTCAGGCCTCCCGGAGACGCATAGCTGCGTCCATCATTTTCCTGCCAATACCTGATAATTACATTCCACTTTCGAAATTTACCATGACCATCTTCTTGGACTCTAATGGCTTCCTGTAAAGATGAACAAATCAAGTACCATAGATCTCCCACCCTTCTTGAGAAAAAGGTCTTCTCCGATAGGTCCCAACGTTTACGAGCCCAGGTTATGAAATCTTCGGTCAAAGCACTTGGTAAACCTTGGTTCCTATTGTCGAAGAAGCTTAATGTAAGGCATCTATCCAAGAACTGAAGCCTCTGGTCTACCCCACGCTCTTCAACTTCGATAAAAGCTTGAGATTCACAAAGCTTAACAGAACTCTTGCCCTCCTTTACTGAAAGATCCTGTCTGACAGCATCCGCAAAGGTTTTACCTTGTAACACCCAAGCATCCCTCTGTATAGGCATCCTTGATTTTGTTTTGAACAGGGGACGTGCCAGCCAGTTAACGATCTCAACCCACTCGCTCGGAACGAAAGGGATGATAATGAAGGAAGACGAACCGTTCCTTAAAGTTTCTGAAATTTTCAAGAAGTTCCCTTCACGGCAGGCAAATCTGTTCAACTGTATGACCCTGGAAGATGATTTTTTCTGTAATTTCAAGGACGGATCCCAGCCTTTCCTGCATATCTCACACAACATCTTTCCCAACCAGGCAGCTTGAGGAAGTTCTAGGTAGATAAATCTCCTTCGACGGTCACCCCTTTCCGAGGAGATTCTAACATACCTTGTTCTGTTCGTGTCGTATATCTCAGTAACAAATGTCCTATCCGCGATGACTGATCGGAGAGTGTTGTTGATCGTCTTGCACTGAAGAATATCTGAATCCTGGCCGTTGTTCGATCCCCGCTTCACCACTGCAGACCTGCAAAAAGAAGAGACCTCACCCAATGATCTCACGCTCTCAGTCTCACGCTCTCTCTCTCCTCTCTCTGTCTCTCTCATCTCTCCACAACCTCTCTCTCTAATTCTTCTATTTCTATTTCATTATTCTATGTTTGGAAAGGAAAGAATGTTGGGAATTGAATTTCAATTGATCCAAATTCCAAATTATGGAAATTAGAATTTCTATCAAAAGTGATAGGAAATGGCTTTATAGAGATGGAATTAGTAGGACCCATGTACATTTATTGTTATTTTATTACTCCACTATCATATTCCTCTCTTTCTCTTTTTTTTTTTGCTTTAGATCCTCTCTTTCTCTTTCACATTATATCTCATTTCTCAAGGTAAAAAAAATATACTAAAGTATTAATTAATTGTTAAAAGTATAATTCATTTTCATAATTGTGGAAATTATACCAAACACAAAAATTGGAAATGAAATTCCATAAAAGTTAGAATTGGAAATGAAATTCCATTTCCATTTCTTATAAAATTGTATCCAAACAGGCTGTTAAGGTTTGTGGAGAGAGGTATGGAAAGGTATATTTTAAGGATAGTAAACAAAATTGGACATTAATTTTTTCCGAAACTTAGCCCTAAACAATAATGACCATCAGTTTAAAAATGATTAGAATGAAAGGTAAAAATGTACCTTGTCACGGTGACAACTATTTAAGGAATTGACTAACCCATTACTTAGTCCAACCCATTAGGGTTAAAATAAACTTGATGATATTCACATGATAAAAAAATCTGAAAAATGACAAAATGAGGATTACTAACCCCTTTTCGTCTTAATCTCCATATCAAAAAGTTACTACAATATAATTTCTCATTTTAAACGTGGTTTCATTCCACTAAATTTACACTAAAGGTATTCAATTCATCCTTGATTTGGCACTCTACCCATTCAATATGGACCAGCAACTACCGAGTTCTCACTCTTGTTCCTGAAAACGTTGGATTAAGTGCAGGAGAGAGATTGAGACTGATTGTTTGACGATTGTTCACCATCTGGACAGGGAGGATATGACGATGACAGTATGGGGGTGACGCGTGAAGAGTTGTGGGATCGTCTTTCGGAGTTGGGCTCGATTAGAGGTGGCTTCTTGGGCCGGTTCAGCAACCAAGTTGCACATCTTATGGTACCTAATGTGGTTGGGAAGAGACAGAAATTTGGGCCTCCAGGTCTCCTTTTTTTCCCAGCTAATTGCTGATTCTTGTACTATTTCTCACAATTAATGAAATAATACAGGCTTTTCCATAATAAAAACAGTGCAGTAGAGAGCTAACCTACCAATTACCAGCAACTCCCGAAATAGATAAATTCTTTGTTCCCGGAATCGAAAAAGTTAGTTGTTAATGTTCAGAGATTAACTGTTACAAAAGCGGGGCTAACCGTTGAGAGACGTTCATGATAATAATATACAAGACTTGTATAATACACTAATTTAATAATGAAGTTATCATTGACATAAATAATTTTAAAATCTTATCATCACCAAATATCTAATAAATAATTCAAACTGCCTCACAAAAAGAAATCGTAATTTTTTTTTAATTCAAATTATAAATTACGGTGTCAATCTGTAGTGAATCACATAAAGTCGACAACTAGGTTGGAAAATGTGAAGAGAAACAACAAGGTTGGAAAATGAGAAGAGAAAGCAGAAATAAAATTAATGATATGGTTTGATGGTCTTAGTTTATGTTAAAGTATTTTTTTTATTTGATGGTCTGAGTTTACGTTAAAGTATTTTTTTTTTTAAATTATGGTTAAAATAGTGAACCAGTGGACCAATTAAACCATGGAAGTTCATCTGAATTTATGGTTGAATCGTTTGGTCCATCAATAATCGTTCAAGTAATGAACCGGACCGCTACCATAACTGATTTTACACTTCTATTCTCCCGCACTTTATCTGTTCGATTCTTATAAGTTATAAGAATGGATAAATCAAATCAATTTAAGACCAGAAAGCCCATACAGACATGTGTGCGGTTTCACTTTCCTTTTAATAAATTCATATCAAACGACTACTTAGACTTTTGCTTTATGTAACTTTCACCTTTTTCTGATGTGTGTGCGTTTCTGATGGATATCTTACTAACGAGGATCTCTGGAATTGTCTTTGCAGTCGACAGGAAGACAAACATCACCAAAACGTTCATCGACTTTGGACTCAAATTTAATAAAAGCAGTCCCATGACAAACTAACACCATTCCCACCGCCATCACCATGATTAGTCATACAGATGTATATCTATAGCTAGCTAGTGGATATATATGCAAAGAATTTATGGGGAATCTTTATAGAATCTCCCATGTAGATACATTATGTATCTCCCTCCTGTTCCCCAACATGTATCCTATGCATACTTTAGGTGTATTTGGCTTTCAAATCTTCATATAGGGCTGTCGGTTCGGTTCGGGTCGGGTAACCGAACCCGTGAAAACCGAAAAAACCGAAACCGAACCCGAAATGTTCTTCTGTGGGTTTCGGGTACTGGAACCCGAATTTGATGGTGGCGGGTTTGGTTCGGTTCGGATGAAACCGAAATCGAACCGGTTTGAGTTTTTTTTTTTTTTTAGTTTTGTGATTTGAATTTTACATTGTAAAAAACAATTTTATTCTTATTATTTGTACATTCTTATTTTACCATTATGTTTAATTTTATGGGACATGGACAGTATAAAACTAATATTTACATATTAGTTTATTATTAAAATATTAGTTAATTATTGAAATATTTAATTTTATGTATTCTATAACTATAGACATACTATTAACTATTAAAGAGTATTAGTATTTTAGAGACAAAGTAAAATACTTAAACATATTTTATACGTAACTTAATCATATCTTATTTAATTGTGGATTTTCGTATAATTAAATGTTTTAGTAATACCATAGGTCCAAAATTGAAGGTATATCAACTATCATATGCAAAAAAATGTTTGGTGCTTGGCGCAAAATTATAAATAATTTTGTTCAACATAAAATACGACAATCATAGATGAGATTATCTTCAACTCGTAATTAAACACATTAGTTTTACAATTCTCAAATGATAACATCCAAGTAAAATAAAAATTCATCCACCATACAAGATAAATACTACTACCATTATCACTCCTCATCAGGCTCTACATCTACATAAGTCTCATCATTCTCATCGGAATTGTTGTCGACATAGTCTTCTTCCACTTGTGACATAGTAGGACTCGAGACCAAAACATGGGTAGCAGGAGAGCTTCCACTGGGTCCTGCACGAGAGCTTCCACTAGGTCCTGCAGGTTCACTTGCACTCCGAGCTTGAAAAGCTACATATACTGGATAACATAAACAATAACAAATTGTTAGAATATGACTTGATCAAGATAACAAATATAAGAATAAAGAGAAAGATTAAAACCTTACCATTTTGAAATACCACTTCATCACCCTCATCTTCTCCATCAGCCACCAACTCGGAGTCTGAAGATCTTATCCAATCTTCACAACAAATCAACGCCTCCACAACTTCAGGGGATAAGGAGGTCCTAAACGAATCTAAAACTCGACCTCCTGTGCTGAATGCCGACTCAGAAGCAACAGTGGAAATAGGAACAGCAAGAATATCCCTAGCCATCTCGGAAATAGTAGGATATTTCATCCCACTTCGCGACCACCATCCCAAGATGTCAAATTTGTATTCATCTTCTTCTGAACCCACCAATGCTCGTGTAACCACTTCATCATCCTCCTCCTCAAGGTACCTATCAAACTCAGATTTGGAACTTTTTCTGGTTCCTTTCAGAATGGCATCTCTTTTCATTTTCCTGAAATCACCCCAAATCTTCCCTTTCTTCTTCCCATCCCCACTTCCACTAGGTTCTTGCACATCTTCCTGAATAACAATGGGAGAACTGCCAGGAAGTCCGAGCCTATGCTTGTAATGGTCAAACAGAAGACGCATTTCATCCTTCACCTCTTCGACCAAAGCTTTACCCCTGCTCTCACCATACACCTTTTTCAAAGCTTGTTCAAGATATTCAACTTTCCGACTAGGATCTAATATGACTGCCATATAACACAACCGATTCATCTTTGAATTCTCCAACTCATCTTCAAACCAATACTTGGCAAGTTTGGACTTGATTCTATCAGCCATGCAAGACACCTCAAAATCTATACCATCAGCCCACTCAGATATCATAGTATACATTTCACATACCTCATCAAACAAGAGGTGTAAAGTCACATATGAAGTCCCAGAAACTCGAACAGTCAAATCATAGAATAGCTTCAGGTAATCAATCAACCGTCCCACACTAGACCAATCATCAGAAGTCATGATACCAAGACTTTCATTTCCATATCTTTTTTCATTGAGATGTTTCTTGAATTTCTTATCATTTCTAGCTAATGTCTGAAATGCTTTCTCAAATGGCTTTGCAGATTCCAACATCAGATACGTTGAATTCCACCTTGTAGCTACATCCAACGAAACAAATTTCTTCGAAGCTATCTTTTCAAACTCAATGCAATCTTTAAATTTTCTGCTCCTAGCTGGTGTAGATTTAACCCACTTCACAGACTCTCTCACTCGCTCCACAGATTTACCAGTTTCTTTGAGCCCATCCTTCACAGCCAAATTAATAATGTGAGCTACACACCTCATCTGCAGATATTTTCCATCCAAAATATCTGATCCCCACTCTTTCAACTGTTCCTTCATATGGATAGCAACCACATCATTGACACTAGCATTGTCCATTGTTATACAAAAGACCTTCCTAATGCCCCACTCCACCAAACAACTAGCCAACTGTTTCCCAATTTCACTTCCAGAATGTTTTGTAACTTGGACAAAGTTAATAATTCTTTTATGCAATTTCCAATCTCTACCAATGAAATGAGCAGTAATGCACATATAATTGAGATTGGACAAAGAAGTCCAAGTATCAGTGGTGAGCGATACCATCCCTAAACACTTAGTCTTGAAATAGTCCTTCAGCAACTCCCTATTTTCAAAGAACACCTTGATACAATCCTCTCTAACGGTTTGACGGCTAGGTAACACAAACATTGGACAAACACGAGCCATAAACCGTTTGAACCCTTCATGTTCAACATACCTAAATGGTAATTCATCTATGATAATCATCTCCGCTAAAGCTCTCCTAGCATCAATCTGATCGAATTTCCAAGTCCCAAGAGTGTGTACCTGGCCTCCAGAAGATGATAGATGGTCGACTATCAGCTCACCCTTTTCTATCTTTTCCAAACAACTCTTTTTATGACTCCGCAGAGTAGAAGTCCCATATCTAGTGGGAGCAATAAGAACACTATTGCAATAAATGCATCTTGCTTTCTCCACTCCATCCTTCATAAAACGTTTGAAGTGTGGCCAAACGTCAGACTTTTCTTTCCTTTTTCTTGAAATTGTCTCCTCGTCTATTGTTTGAGCAGGAGGTACATTGGTGGTACCGGTAGACGGTGCAGGAGCAGGAGCAGGATCGGAAGACGGTGCAGGAATGCTGGTACTCTTAGATCGTCCTCCACGTCTAGGACGAGAAGCCGATGGTGCCTCACTTCCCCTGTCAAAATGAAAAGTTGAGTTGAGTTAAAACCTTTACAGTGAAGTGTGAACCACTTAAACACCATAACAGTGTATCAAAAGAAGTGGGATTCTATGGATCTATCAACAAACAAACAAACAGACTAAGATAGATAACCATTTGTTTCAGGAGTCCATCTCACAGCTACATACGTTTTTCAACTTCCAAGGCTCAACAGATTCAGAAAATATTATACTAAACAGTTACCAAATTTTCCTTGTAGGCGCCATAAACAGACCTGAGCTACCCCGGTAGCCAGAGCCATGTAGCGCTTAGCAGACATTAAAGATCATTCATCAGGTTCATCTACAAACTAGAAATAACATAATCTTTCCCTTGAGACCGTAAACATATAACCTAATCTCGAAGGATGTTACTGCTTCAGTGCTTCGTATTTACACAGCCAAGGAGAGGAGGAGATCCCATTATAATTGAATGCAAGAGTCCCCACCACCATCCCAGCATTGTGGGAACAGCAGATTTCACAAATTTCCAAATGGGGTTTTGAACTCAGTTCTATATCCTCATATTATCTAGCGTAACCTATTAAACCATGACACTAATATAGGAACGATAACGAAAGAAAGTAGCAAATTGAGAAACAGTGGGTATCTATGTGTGGCCTGTAAAAAATTTAGCAGTATTCAATCCAATAGTTGAAAGGAAGAAAAAGTTAAAGGCAGCCTCTGCAAATCACATGTGGCATTTATTTGTTCAGAAATCGTAGGATGGACAATGTCGAACGGGATTCTTCTCATGCTTTTTGTATTCAGGAACTTCATGGCCAATGTCAAGAAGGTAATGAATGAAACCAAAAAAGAGAGAGGGTTGTGAAATGGAACCAGAGGTTGAGGTTTCTCTGTATAAACTATAAACTGCACAATATTCACTCACTGATGTAGAACCAGAACGGGGAGAGGGGAAGAAGACTATAGAAACGAGAATCAGAATCCTAAAGGCGGAATCTTTCGGATTCGGGTATAAAGATTTCCCCCTTGCCCTCTCTGGGTTTGACTCAGAAACTGCTGGCGATGAAATTTTACTTCGCCCACAACACAATCTCGACTCAGAGACAGAGAGAGACAGAGAGAGAAGCAGAACCCAGTAACAAAGAAGTTGAAGCAATAGAATTTTTCGAAGAGACTCACTGGGATTCCATGGTGGAGTCGTCGGAATAATGTGGGCACACTGGGTCTCTCCTTCCCGAGGTGAAGAGCGAAGCGGCGAGGACGATGATGGCCGGCGAGGGATTCGATGGCGGTCGGAGGTCCTCACGAGGCCGCTGGCGGCGAGGACGATGATGGTGGCGACTGGCGAGGGAGCTCTGTTTTGTTTGGCAAAGACGAAGAGACTGCGCCGGCTGCGCCTGCGAGAACGAGAGGTGGAGGGAGTCGAGAGATAGGGCTGAGGCCGACTCTTCTTCCCCAAAACGACAGCGTGAGATTTTTCGGTTTTTGGGTTGCTCTCGGGTTTTCGGGTTTCAGTAACCGAAACCGCCATTGTGGAGACCGGGTTGAACCCGAAAAAACCGAAACCGAGAATGCAAATAGCGGTTCGGGTTCGGGTTAAACCGAAAACCCGAAACCGAACCGACAGGCCTATCTTCATACAAGAAAATTTAGCTGTACAGGCAAATAATTAGAGACAATAATTGTATTAGTTAGAGGTTTGTACCAAAAATATTATTTTCCTCCACGAAACTGTAAGGTTCCTGACAAAAAAAATTTGTTGTGGAAAGGCTTAAATCCGTCATGAATACTGTCGCAAAAAAGGGATAAACCCTTGACGCCTGTACAACGTCTCCAGAAAGTTCAGCGACGAAAATAACTGGTTCGTCGCAAAAATAAAAAATCAAATTTATAGCTGAAATTCGATGATTTGGCGACGGTCATGTCGTCAAAACATGGTTATTTGGCGACTACAAGAGCTTCATCGCAACAAAAAAATGTTATTTCGCGACGGTTATATCGTTGCAGAAAAACGCTAATTTAGCGACACATCAATTCATCACAGAAGGTGACAAGCTTTAGCGACATTCATTTTCAGATTCTTTCGCAATATATTTCCTGGTCAAAATCAAATCATCACCTCACCAAAGCCTCTTTAATCCCAAGCCCCCAAGCCCTAGCTCATAATCCTTTGTCTGCCACGACCCAACCATTAAACCCGACCCTAATATAAACCTTAATTGTTGTCGTTGGAGACCACCAAGCCGCATTTCTGATTAAGCATGGAGAACGGAAGACGACACGCGGATAATGGCTAGGGTTTACCTACAATCGATGCTGTCAATATCGTCATTGTTGGAGCTTCGTCTCCGATGAGATATCGTTCAACGAATCCAAAAGCAAAACCCATAAAGAAACAAATTTCTTTATTATAAGAAAACCGAAACAAATTTCTTGGTCTTGTTTCCACCACGATTTTCAAATTAGGATCTCTCAAGGAGTGCACATAATAAACTTGAATTGTTTGACTAGCTAGAATGAAGGGCACCTCAGCTCTAAGCATATGTAACTCATATGTGCTTTGTAGATGATCTCCTGGTATTCCCCAATGAATTACTTAGGCAGTGGTTGGGGTTAGACATTTACTGGATGAATTCTATTGTGTTTTAGGGCTGCAGTGTAACCCCTCGAACTCTCAGCTCTATTTGTGCAAGAATCTCTCGAGCTGAAATGCAATACATCTCGGATCACACTGAATTCCCATTAGGGACTCTGCCTGTAAACTACTTGAGAGTTTCTCTGCTAGCCAGCAAGCTGTGAAGGAAAGACTGCAAAGCTCTTGTGGACAAATCCACTAAGGGTGCGTTTGGATACAATGATTTGGATTTGGTATTTGTGATTTGGATTTCCAAATACCAAATCATGTGTTTGGATATTAATTACATTTGGTATTTGGATTTGTGTCAAATTCATGGGGTGATTTCCAAATACATGTCTAGTGTATTTTTTGTCAACTTCAAATACATTTCAACAACTAGTGATTTGAAATACCTCCTAACAAAAGAATGGACCTATTTGTAAAATATGAAAAGTTTAGGTACTATAGCGTGAGGCAAAACATATAAAGGTACCAAAATGTAATTTTACCATCAAAATTTGAGGACCTTTTTGTAAAATTTTAAAAGTTTAGGTACTAAATTGTAAGAAAAAATAATTTTGGGTACCAAACTGTAATTTACCAAAATTTGTAGTAGTGACAAAAAATTAAAAATTAAAATTGAAAATCATAAAATACAAAATACAAATAAATTACAAATGAGTATCCAAACAATGAATTTGAATTACATGTATTTCAAATGCTAATATTTCGAATACATCCATTTCAAATGCTAATATTTCAAATACCTTACATTTAAAATCCACTTATCCAAACGCACCCTAAGAGGATTCAGAACTGGCATGCAAAAGTATGAGTTTTGCAACTAAAGTTCAACTCATCTCATTGGTGTTAATTAACACTCTTTTTTACAGTATTGGATTACTCTTTTCCTTCTACCAAATTATGTAATTACGGAGGTTGAAGGAATTTGCAATAAGTTCCTTTGGGTTGCATGTCAGTGAGAATAGTCAAAGAACAAAGGCAGTAATTAATGGCTTGGAAATTAATAGCTCGACCTAAGATAGAAGGTGGGCTAGGACTAGGGTGGCTATACGGTCCGGTCCGGTCCGGTTAAATTTGCCCAAATTGATCCGGTCCAGTCCGACTTTTTTGAAAATATAAGGACCGAAGATTGGATTGGATACAGTCCGGTCTTGACCCGGTCCGGTCCCACTTCGGTCTTGATTTTATATTGAGATTGTGGGAATTTGAGTGGCCTAAGGCCTAAAAGGGTGAGGAGTTGGTTAAGTTTTGTACTAAGTGCAAAGGTTTGTGACCGTTTATGCAAATTACCCTTAAGTTTTGGGTGTTGAGCTCTTTTATCCGGTCTTTATCCAATTTTTTACCTCAAATCTAAGCCCAAAGATTGGATTGGATTGTTTACTACCCGGTCCCGGTCCGATCTCGGTCCGGGTTATACGGTCCGGGTTATACGGTTCGGTTTCCGGTTTTTCATCCGATCCCGATCCAAATAGCCAGCCCTAGCTAGGACTTAGAGATTTCTCTATTTGGAATAAAACTTGGGTACGTAGTAAGATATATTTGAATATTCTGCCTTCGAATGGAACGTTGTGGGTGGCGTGGATTAACTCAAGATTAAGGACAAAAGCATTTGGATTGCAAGAAAAACACTCCCAAGACGATTAATTGTTATAATATTTACAAAGGAATCTCATCTCATGCAGCCATCAATCGCACTTGGGGTAAGGGCTGTACCACTAGGGGCCGCGGCGGATCCAGGATAGAGTAGAGTACTGGGCCATATTTGAAAATAATCAGAGAGGATTAGGCCGTAATCCGATAAGAACATAAACGAATACCTAAAATCGAAAATTTACAAATACTATACTAACTTCGAATCCGGAGAAGACTGAGTCATGACCCGGGACGATTCCTAGATCCGCCGCTGCTAGGGGGTCGAAGTAATCAACCTAAGACTGTCAACTTACAACGGACCGATATTTTAGCTCCTCTCGTAAAATAAAGCAAATCAAAAGGAAAGTAGATAGAAAAGGTTTTGGGAAAAAGATGACCCCATAATTCTGATAAATAATAAAAATTAAAAAAACAAAAAGCTGAGGACTCCCTTTAACTTTACATGCTACAACAACGTGGGCTCTTGTCAAAATCCGCCATCCTAGAGAGAGAGAGAATGATGATACGTGTATATATAGAGAGAGAGAGCTTTGCTTTACTTTGCTTCTGTTCATCAGTTCAATTTTGGAGCTTTTGATTATTGGTCCCAAAAAAAAAATGTTGCTTTTTTTTTATAACGGGTCGTGTTCATAATTACGAACGGTCCGAGTAATTTGGGGCTCCGTTATAATTCACTGCATGGCCGTGCATGGCGGCTAACGTCCGGCACAAACCGGTCAACCTGCCACGTAGGACAACCGACTCGGATCTCAGCCGCTGGTTCGCCTTCCAAACCACGTTGCACTGGCTCAGGGTCGAACCCAACGCGTACTTCAGCTCCTGGTTCTCCAGGTTCAACCGGTTCGCCTGCTCCGTCAGTTTCTCCAAATGCCTCTTCTTCCTCCACCTGGACCGTCGGGCGGACTCCCGGTTCGACACCATCCGCCTCCGCTTCCTCTCGTCCACGTTGTAAACGGACCGGTCCGACCCTTCCGAACCGGAATTTGAGTTCGGGCTACCCGTCGTTGTTGTCGTCGTCGTGGCGGCTTGGTGGTCATATTGACCAGTAGAATCGAAGAAGGACAAGAGCTCCTGCAGCTCGTGGGCCGTGAACCCCGGCTCGTTGGCCCGAACCGGGATATCGAACGACTCGGTCGCAAACATGATCAAGAGAAGGAAAGCTAGCTCAAAGAGAGAGAAAACCGGGGTTTTTTTCCGGGGAGTGAACCGGAGGGAGGGAAGGAAGGGGAAAAGGGAAGGATGAAGTGTTGGATTTGGCTATTTATAAGTGGAGTGGGGAGGGGTATTATGGTCCAATTGGTAGGGAAAAAGATTTTTCTAGTGAATGAGTGTACACTGTTGTTGTGAGTAAGGTGTCACAATGATATGGGAAATGGGGGGAAATCTCTTTTTTCATTTCACCTTTATTTTTCTCTTTCTCTCTGCTTTATAATTAATTTTTTTAAATTTTTCTTGATAGAATTTGTGGGGCATGAGGAGGGAGAAAAAAAAGATTAGGTTTTAGCTTAATCACGAAGAATCAGGCCGAAACACATAAAAACAACAATTTTACGTTTGATAGCTCTGTAAAATTAAACAATTTTAAACAAAAGAATTTATAATAGCTATTAAATAAATAAATGGGCTCATTTTGGTGGACTAGACTTGTCCATTTGGGCTTAGGCCGATTTTTTTTTATTTATCATTTACTGATAATTTTGTGCGGTTAAGAGAAAAGGAGAGGGTCGGGTGTGCTCGATGTTAATGAGTTTTCTAAGGTTTATGCGTTGTGATGTATTTGATAGCGAATTATACTTTGTGAAGTATTAGAGAAAGAAGAAAAGGGAGGATAAGGTTTTTCAAATATTATGCATTGCATGGGCTGCGAAGATGGCAAATTGAAAATGACAAGAGGTTAATCATCATTATCATTTATCATATGGTTAGTAATAGCCAGTTAATCATCACACACTCACTTATTAAACCCAAGTTGGTAAGTAAGGGGTCGTTTGGAATTTGCGTATGTTAAATCGTTGTATTGTGAAGAATCATTGCAATATATAATACATGTATTGATACAATCGTTGCATTTAACATTACATTGTCTGGTTGTTGAATTTATAGGTTAGTGATTAACTTACATAAAGTAAATTTTTTATGGAAATGTCACATTTACCCTTTATTTTAACATACAACATATCACTCTTTTCCCTCTTTACTAAGGATATAAATTAAATAAAAAAATATATGTAAACCTAAAAGCAACAATCACAACAATCTCAACTTTTAGTTGAGATTGTATAATACCTTATTTTTTGTGATTGTAGGTGGGACCCACATAAAACAATACATGCATTGTTTCACACTTTGACAATTCCAAACGTTATATTGTGGACAATGCATGTATTTTATAAATACAACACTCACAATCACAACTTTCAAACGAAACCTAACTCCAATTTAAGAGTCGACCTACACCAATTTAAAAGTAGACGTAGTGATGCAAGAGTTTGTCCAATCAATTCCTGACTCTTTGAAAAATGAAAAGTGAGGGCCTATTTACTATCATCTGTGATGTGAATATGTTCATCTAACTCATTTTCTCAATCACACAATCTTATTATAAAATAACATTAAACCGAATGGCTAAAATCAATAAACTCATAAAAAACTGTACTGGTTCCAGATCCAAAGGAGGGCTAAGTCGAGGCCCGGGGTGGCCACCCCCTAGATCCGCCACTGGTCACCATCGTCACACCTTTTCCCCTTCTTTCTCTACCCATTGCTTGCATAAATCTGATTACAGGTGACTTGTGACGTTCATCAATTTTTTAATTTCAATGAACAACCAGTCAAATTCTTCTCCTTCTCTTTTGATCAATCTGACATAATATCAAAGCCGTCAAAACCATATATAAAAAAAATCTCTTCATCAAATTTGTGTGTTCAGATTTCTTTTCTCATATAACTCGTCTTTCCTTCAACTCGCTTACCAATCACAATTTTGCCAATGAACTGTACCCCTATAAAAAAATTATAAAAAAAAATTTGAGGAAAAAAGAACTGTGGTGCACAATTCCCTCGTAAGGAAACCCCACGATTGTCTTGTTTTTATCTTTCTGAAATAACCAGTGGGATAAAATAACAAATATAACTAATGCACAATGCCCCCAATTAGGGCTGGAAGTTTGGTACCGGTATTTGGGATAGACCGAATACCGTACCGAATTTGTCTATATTTGGTATTACCGAATACACGTATTATTTTGTGGGATTGGGATTGGGATTGAATTTCAATTGTTATTCGGTATTAGGGATTACGGGATTGGGATCGGTATATACTGAAATACCGATCAATACCGAAATATAAGCTAGTGTGTATTTTATCCTCTCAACTAGACTCTCTCATTCAATACTACGCGACCCTCAACCACCAAAAGTGTCATTTAATTATACATAGATCATTACATCACAATTTCACACTAGTATTAGTCGTCTCTCAACCTCAAATTCGTCAAATTAAAGATTACCAATTACAAGAACTTAAGATGTTAGCTTTAGGCAACTCAAGACTATTTGCTTAGTCTCTTTGCTCTAAATTAAACAATAAAATCTCATTTATATATTTAATTATTAATTGCAAAGGTAATTAATTATGTATTCGATAATACCGATTGGGATACCGAAATTATTTAGGGATAGGGATTGGGATACCGAAATTATTTAGGGATTGGGATTGGGATTGATTTTAGGGTGTAATTCGGTATTTGGTATTGGAATACCGATACCGTACCGATTTCCACCCCTACCCCCAATAACCAAAGCCACAGTTGTTTTTGTTTTGGTCCAAAAAAGGCAGAACAGTCTGCTGCATTTAAAGTGATATGTCCAAAACTTCTTTTATGAGGTAGAGAGAGTTAAAATGCTAAGTTTGCAACATGACATGCACATTAATTCCCACACAGGTTATCTAATAATGAAATTTATATGATATTACATAGGAATATTCGAGAGAGTGGGGCAGTTCATTATAAAATGTTGGGGAACTTGTTCGGAACTTTGATATAGTTTTTTTCCATCTGAAATATTTGAAATTTGGCAGTTAATCTCAGTTGTTGGTGTTCATTATCGTGTGATGCATACAGGCTTTGGAGGGAGCCACTACGGTTTACAATTAAAATTTAATCTTATATCATATCGGTTAAATACAAGGGATGAAATGATTTTATAAGACCAACGTAATTATAAAAATTAAAATTAAAATGATTTTTGAGCCAATAACCCCATGCAATCATGTGCGCCACTCTAGCCATCCATTCCAAACATTGACCAAGTGTTGGAGCATCCCCATGAGGTGGTCGAGGTGGCTGGGGGGTCATCAACGTACGCCCCTCATGAGGTTGATAGGAGGTCATCAACATGCTACTCCCATGCTGTGGTGATGAGGGGTAATCAACACATTCCCCACATGGTGTGGTTAGGGCCACTTAGGGGGGGGGGGGGGGGGGGGGTCACTAGTGTAACGAGAAGAGGTAAAATTTGGCTAAGTCTGACAACGTGTGCGGCACAGAATACCCCCTAGTGGATGAAATATGGCCAAAATTTGGCCAAGTATGCCGCTCCAATAGCGGTGAATTAAAATTTTCCATTTTTACCCTGTGTGAGCCAAACACCCACCCACGTGTGACAAGGGAGTTTTCATGCCTTCTTCATTTTTCTCAACTGCCAAGCAAAGCTAATAAGGAGCTATCAAGAGGAGGGGGCCAAGACTCGAGAGGGTACGACTACTAATGTCAAGGCATACTCGGAGCAGTTGAGAGGGTAACCGTCACTCCACGTCAGCAGAGTAGTCTCTCAAGGCATTTACTTTTGGTGGCTATAAATAGGAGGTGAAAATGACCGAGAAGGGGCTCGCAAAGATCACAACTCGACACCACTTGTCAAGTTTTTATCATTTCTACCTTTCCTCTGAGAATTTTAGCCATAGGCGTAGTTATGGAGCTCTAACTGAACCTCCATAGGAGTATGACTAATTTAATGTAGTCTTTGTCTCGTGAGCTGTAGAAACATCAAACACCCTTGTTTGAATTTTGTTTAAAGAGGTGTGAACTGTATTTATTTTATTTTTGTTCAAGAAGTCAAGGAGCAAATTCAATTCTGCTCAACTCTAATTTTCTTGCCGTAAAACACCTACAAAATTTATTTTATATTTTTTCAATGGAAATTGGGATGACAACTAGTTCGAGTGAGGCTGGTTTTCCTATATACCAAAACCTACTCATGTGTGATTTAGGGAAACCTCATCCCACCCTTCCTAGATAACCATATGTAAAGTTCTTGATATAAAGTGAATTGTTCTTAGAATGTCGTTGTCTTTTAAGTTTTGACGTTGTTTATAAAAGTGAGGGGAATGAGTAAGATTTTTGTCTTACAGATAATTATAATATTTGAGGGATTGGATGAACGGATTGTTGAAGGAAGTGAGTCTAAATCATAGTTGTAATGCATATTCAAGATGGTTCGATGTAGACACTTAAAATACCAAAACTGCACCAAACCTAATACTCTTTTTGTTGGAAACTCTCATAATTGTACATATATGACTCGAGTTGTTTGAAAATGTACATATATGGTACTTAGGCGAATCTCACATCGATAAAATACATGAGAGATCTATAATTCATAAGGACAAAGCCAACAAACAGTGGCTCCATCCCCATCCACCATTGCTACAATTTCCACTGAAGCAAACGAAATTTCCAAGTGAAACCATTTCTAATTTCCCTCTGTGTTGTGTCCGGCGCATGAGATAGTGAAGCCAGTAATGCCCACCTACCTTATGCTACCACAAAGATTCTTCGAGCTTTCTCTTCAGAAGTTGAGTCCATTTCCTGTTTGAGAGTTGCGACAAACTCATATTTAAATCAACTTTTGATATAATTATAAAATATATGGTTCTTGGGTAACTTGGAATTGGCATAATTAGGGGTATCAGTCGGTCGGTTTCGGTTTAACTGAAAACCGATTTTCCGGTTATCGGTTAAACCGAGCCGTCCCTTATGCATGCCGACCACCGACCGCGAGGGAATCAACGGTTAGCCAAGCACCGACCAACTGGTTTTCGGTTTTGGCTCGGTTATCCGCAATTAATCGAGTTCATTGAG